ACAGTGGCGTTGATAGATTTAGGAACGCGTTCGAGGCTCACGGCGCGACGTGATGGCAGCGGAAGGTGAAGTGTCGCGGATATCTCTTGAAACTGAAATCGGACGATGTGATGCTGTGCGAACGACGTTAACAACGAAGAGGCGGGATTGCAGATTATGGAGGACTGGTCGCGATCATTCGTGGTAGGTGACCTATCGAGTCGGTCGAATGCAGTAATTCAGGAACACCGGACGGCCGTGCGACCCGTGTTTGACAATCGTGGGATTTATTTCGTGGGAACAAAGCAGCTGGTGCTTTCGCGATCGCAGGCCGGGCGAGTCTCTAGAACGACGACTCGAGCGCGATTGCGACGAGCTGATATTCTTGAAGCAGAGAATGTTGGGTGCGCAGCAGAAGGTGTGAAGGGGGGGAACTCAGAGACGATAGAGGTGGGAGTGAACGGTGCTGGTGTACAGAAACAGTGATGTGTGGAGGTGTGGACGACGAGGAGGGTTCACGGTTCTACGAGTGAGGGAGACAACGGATCGGAGTGTTTTCGAGATGGGGGAAGAGCCAGTCTCAACGAGAAGCTAGCTACAATGATTGGCTCGCTAAACCGTTTATTTGATAAGGCAGCTCTGGTGTGGAGCTGTTAATTTAGCGTGTACCTTAGTTGCAGCCCGCAGAAATAAAGGTGGGACAGCACAGGACACGCGGAAGACTGGGCGAGGAGGATGCAGAAGTGCGCAGCAGAAAGTGCAGAGTGGCTGGAGAGCAGAGTGGCTCTGAGGTCTGTTCATACTGAAGCATGCGATGAGTGAGGTCTGTGGAGAGAAGACTGAGGCAGGGAGGCCAAGGTGGTGGGCGCATAGCATGGCCAGGGACAGTGAGCAGTAAGTGGTGGTGGCAGCAGAAGCAAGCAGCAAGCTCTGGCGGGCGCGCTCAAGAAGGGCGTCAGGGAAGTTTACAGTAGTCCACCAAGCTCCCCTCGCTCTCGCAGCTGCAGGTTGGCTGGTGCTCCTCTCAGCGGTGTCAGAATTGCTCGAATCCTGGTGATGCGTGCAAAAGTCGCTCGCTGGAGGGCTGCCAGCCTGCATCGCGCTGCACCGTCTGCACCGTCTGCACCAATCTGCAAGGAGCGACCCGTCCGTGATACGGAATCGTATCAAGCGATTTCACGCCCCTGGGTCATCCTAGCGCCTGTCGTTGAAGAGGGGAGCCTCCATGGCCCTCCTAGCAGGCCCTCCACCCAAACTCTCCGGATTGTCGTAGTGGTGACGATCAATGTGTCCAGACTAATATCTGAAGGCAGCACTTTTGCAGAAAGCCGTCAAATTCTCGGTAGATCAGGCTGTGATCAGAGGCAACACGACAACATCAAGGAAGAAACGGAAACATGAAGAAAAAATTGGATTGGTGGTCAGGGCTTGAGAAAGACAGTCGCATTCTCCAATAAAACGCAAACGTTTCTCCAGATGACGATTTCGGTTGTCGGTTGTGATGGCCCTGAGGGAGTCGTGATTCGTTGCACGACAACATAAAAGAGCATTTCTCGTTGGTTGAGCATGCCAGCTTTATCTTGCCAGCACCCTATCATTTCCAACTAGGATGTGGGAAAACTCCGTACACCTACTTCAGTCCTCTCATTGGACCCATATTGAAGCTTTGGAAGGGGATGTTGGAGGTGGGGTGATGACAGTTGCATGGCTTTTTCCGGGTCGGAATCCGAGAGTGTCTTAAAGACATTTGTCTCAGCAATGTTTGGAAATTTATCAGTTGAACCAGATCTTCCCAAGGGCCGATCTAAAAGCATTCGGGCGCATAACGACGAGACCTTCAAGATCTCCAGGTGTGACCGACGGGTCGGCTCGGTGGTTGCTGATATCCAAGCGCAAGCCGATTGATGGTGTTCTCTCCCATCGAGTAAAAACAAAAACGTTGAAGGATCCGGATTGCGGATCGGCTGTTTGTTCTGCGCTGTCTTGTGCAGGTTACACAAACCTGGGCGACAACTGCAGCTGTGCACCGGCACTCTCATGGCACTCATTGGACGCAAATATAAGCATGGTCAGATTTCATGCCGGAGACGAATTTCAGGACTCGAAGAATCGTCTCAGATAAAGCAAGGGCACGATCTGACTTCGATAGCAAACCTTCGAGAAAGGAGTTCGGTTGCAACACAATCCCATCTGGTTCACGTAGCGCAGCCCAGGCACGTGGCGGATCGTCCCCGAAGCCATCCAAGACCCTCTCGCTGGGAAAATGATTGCTCGAAATCCAAGCAGCGGTCACGAAAGGCTGCGATGCGATGTGATTCGGGGGCGCAGGATAAGGTGTGTCGAGTGATAAGTACCGGGATGAGGATAAGCAGGGGGCATTTCACACGGCACAGCACACTTCTTGCACGCTTCGACGCTTCTCTTGGTCGGCTTTCTTCACTCTTTCTCTAGATTACGTCGATTTTGTGGATTTGTTGGCAGTTCTTTGAGAGCAGAAGCTGGTAAGTCAGATGCTTTTGCGAGATGCAATTGGCCCCGCATCTCTAAAAAGCTTTGACGCTTCTCCTTGACTCTGCTAGGTTCAAGGATTTAATCCCGGATGTGGCCTTTTAATAGGCCGTTGACCGTGCTCGACCAGGGATGGTTCTTTGGGTCCTCAAGATGGTGTGGTCGCTTGGGCTTGTCCCACCATCCTGGGCCTTCGTTTCTCCCCTCCATCTGGCAACTCTCACAACGGGGTGGTTTGTCCGAGAAAAATAAATCCTTATTTGAGCCATTTGGGGCTCTTCATATCTTGAACACTGTTTGAGAGAGGAGGTGAGTACGTCACTTGCCACGATAAGGTGCTTCCTCTTATCCAGTCAGATTATGTTGCATTTATGCACAAATATGCATCAGCAGAGCAGCAGCAACACTAAAAGTACATACAGTGTGGTCGCCCTTCACTCCCCCTCTTCTTACAAACGCACCTTATGATCACAGCATTTTCCTTTGCCCATCAAACCAGGGAAGTAGGGGAAACACACTTCCACAAAAGCAAGCAAGCAAGATTGTGGCAGGACAGAAGTTTCGCAGGGCTGTGTGCGCAGCGTGCGGAAGGATGCGATAGAGCTGTATGCAGTCTGGCTTCCCCGGCACGAGGGGTGCATAGCCGCGAAAGTTTGTTGGATGAAGCGTGCATGAGGCACTACGCACCACGCAGCACCACGCAGCAGCACCCACACGAAACGGAGCGTCAGCATGCGATTTTCCATCACGGGAGATGTGAGGTGCTGTATCAGGTCGAGTATCTCACTCAAAGGGCCGTCTTCCGTCTACGGTACCTTTTTTAAAGAGTGGGTGTACAAGCTTTAATGCTCTTGGTAATTTCTGCGATTTCAAAATCGTCGATTGGGGAAGATGGCACTTTTTGAGCCGAGAGATATGGCAATGTCGCTGTTTTGAGCTCGGCACTTGTGCCCAGGTCGAGGCTCCGAAAACCCCTCACATCAACGTTGTGGCTGGACGTGGCAGCTTGGGTTCTTGGCTGGGATTTTTAATTACCAAGACAGGGACAAGACATCTCAGACATCTGATACTTTTGTTGAAGGATATTTGAGGAAATATGAGCTTAAGACAGCTAGACCTTGAAACTGATGTCGATTGACTTAAAAAGGCAACTTCCGTGGTAACACGTGATAGGCCGAGCTGGCTGTCACTTGGGGATCCTCCATTGGATCTAATTGTAAGTATCGTTTCGTCACCAAGATGAAATTGTGTTCGTCACTCCCGTAAATCACTTATTCCTCTCGATAGACTAGTGGACCCTCTCCCAACTGCCTACTATATATCACATGACCCATACCCTGTTCCCCTCCATTATTCCCCCCTCACCCCCTCACATTCCCTCTCACCAAAATTTTCCCAACCACAATCCCAATACCGCACCCCCGATTCCATCATACAGGCCAGTGTAAAGGAGCTTTTTCCGCATCCCCTCATCACAACCTCCCACCCACCACTTCAACAGACATACAGCGCCTAAGAGTATCCTTACGGGTACTGTCGCCTGGAGGAATTGATTCTCCTCGATTGGCATATGAGAGGTAAATAGATATGCCAGACCGAGTCCTAAGGTTGCTACTCCAAAGAGAGGATTGTCTTCTCCATTCGTTTGCTTCCCCTGTGTCTTTTTCGGAGATGAAGACTTAGATGCCCACTTCCCTGGAAATATTATATTGAGTCCAATACACGAAAGCCCTAACGCGTGGATAAGAATTGGGAATGGTAGGTTAACGGATTGAAGTGGATTGAGGAGGTGGAGGACACTGGGTATTGCCATCCTTGGAGGAGGTTGGTGATTGATTTATGATTCTGAAAATTTGACGATTTAAGGGAATTCAGCGGAGTTAGATTCAAGGTTCTCTTAGGGTGACAGATTGAAGCATGAATCTAAGATAATGGAACATTTGGAAATGGCAGAAGGTTTGGGGCATACAAAAAATGGTAAGCACATGAAAAATAAGAGAGGCTGGAAGAGAAAATGTAAGACAGGCGTAACTTCGGCTATTCAGCTGCACCTCACTGTTATGCCCGCCCAAATATGAAATTTTTTGATCAAAATCAGACACTCTTTGAATGGGATCTGGAGCGAAAGGAATATAACGTCCATACAGAAAATTAGGGCATGAGGCCACACGGTTTTGGGTGAGAAGTTTTGTTTGTAAAATTTTCAATTCAGAAGAGTAAGGGTTGCATAAGTTATGTTACCACACAGGCAATTTTATAACGAATCGTGCTTCATCACTATCTACTGGTCGTAAAATGGGTGTCCAAAATATCCCAAGCGCATTTCCTCCACCTCCGCTCCAGAGCCTCCATACCTCATAAATATTAGGGTTGACTAAGCTCTCCACTGTCTGGCCTCACCAATTACGTCGCTTAATTTCAGTATCAAATTTGCCGAAGTGCCCCGAGATCCCACCGTACACAAAAATTGAATATATATATTAATAAGCATCGTCTGTCAAAACAAGCTAAGAGCTTCCGTGGTCCAATGGTTAGGATTCCACCCTTCCAATCACCCAGCCGTGAAATGTTAGGTGGAGGTTCGTGTTCGATTCACGGCGGTTGCATCCTCATTAAATTTTTTTTTTCTCCATCCTTTTACAGTCTAAAGAATGGAACTCAGCTGCTTGGTCTTTCTTTGCCTTGATGCCTCTCACCTCTTCTTTGCTGCTATGCATCCCTGAAGTCAACGAGATGATGATGCCCTTGATGGCGTATATAGTAATATCAATAGCAAATTCCATGGTAAAGACACCCACTAAACCCTTGATTTACTACTAAATTTGGGGGTTTGATAAGTAAGGTTATATTGAGGGTTCAGTTTCAGGTCTGTTAAAAGATTGGGAACATGGTCGTACGAAATTGCATGAAATCAAAGCGATTCGATAGTGAAATACGCCCGAGATTAGCTTCTCAACTGAACTGAACTGAAAATTCCTTGAGCTAAGGCAAAAGGAGACTTACGAGCTTAAAAGCCCTCTGGGAGGTCTAATATGGTTTCGTTCTTGGATGTAGTTTGAACTCATGATTGGTATCATGGCTAAGACATAAGCGGACCTGATGAGCGTTGAATAGAATGAAACAAAACACCCTTAAGCTCACTCTACCTCGATACCTTAAATACAATAATCAAACAACTTACGGAAGCACAGTCCCTTAATGGGACATTAGGCCTAGGTATCTTTGATAAAAATCCTCACACCGGCTCGAGATAGCTGATTATCACAAGTAGATTTAGAGTTTCAAAATACAGTATTAAACAAAAGTATATAATCAAGCAAACTAGATTTGGAAAATAAATTACAACTTTAGACAATTTAAAGCCCGACAGGAATTTATAGACCTATACCAAGAATGAAAGAGATAAATGGGGAAAGTGGCAACTTCGAGTTGACGGGCAAGCGAGAACTTGTGAGAAGGGAGTAATTATCCTTACCGGTACAGCAAACCTGGGCATTATCGGGTATGAGATTCTTGCCTTTCGTTCTATGCCTGTACTATTTCTCCTGCAACACAGGCTGACAAGTATCCAAATTCTACCGCGCGATCCAGAACTCTCAAAGCTGCAGGTCTATTTGGCAATCTGTTCGGGGGAACATTCACCATAATATTGACTAAACAATTCTTCAAAGAAGCTATCAGTAAGTCGTTTCTTGGTGTTTTCGGGTGCGTGATGGATTTGATGGCTAGAAGGACAGCGATCAACGTAGCCTCCAAGTTTCCAATCCCTACATACGTGAGCGCCTGAGATTAGCTAAGGTCCAAAAGAGTAGTTGTGTTTGTCAACTTACAATCTGCTGCAGGGAGGTGACATCCTAATAGTACACATCTGTAATGTTAATCACATTCAAAGGTAGCAACGAGTATACAGTAGAATCCACAACTGAAGTAAAAGCGGTATATTTGTTTCGTTCTGAACATGATGCGAGTTATAATATCCTCGCGAGTTGTGTGATTTTAAAGAGGCTTGAATATATCTACAGCCGAATAGCTATGCGGTTGGGGAAAAGGGTGGAGTAGGGGCCGCGATTTCGGGGAAATGATATCCTCGATTCGATCGATAGATTCATCTGAGCACCAGGTCATCAAGCCTAGGGTTCCCTGGAGAGCCAGTATCCTTGCGCAGCCTTACGAACATTACAGGTGCTAACGTCACCCAATCAACTATCGCCCTCCAGTGGAATAAGCTCTCCTTTTCCAACTCCCGTATACCTAGTAAGGCTTTGCTTCCAGCCCTTTCACCGAATTTTAATAAGAGGAGTTCTGATTGAAGATTGTGATAGTTCACGAAATCAAATTAAACGAATGCCAGGACGTACGGCAAAACTAACCACAAGATGAGACGTAAGGCGGGGATCATAGTATGGTGTAGTGCCATGATAGCTTTAAGCAAAGGAAGTGGTGAGAGGATTGTAGAGCGGTGGTAAGTGATCCGATGTTCATCGTCACCAAATTAACGAGTAAGGAAACCGGACCTAAATGATACCCTGAAAAATGTTTATGGAGTCAATTGAATATTGAATATAGAGGAGGGGGGATATGGAGGTGAGGTGGACGACCTAGGTTTCCTTGTCTTAAAGCGGATCCTGCAATGCGCGTAGATACGGGCCTGGTTGGGTTAAGTAAGGTTTAGAGTTGTGTACATAATTGGGTATGGAAATACTACAGTCGGCTTCGATTCGGCTTCCTCTTTATAATCTAGTATCTCTTGCAGACCCTCTGGCCTCTTTCCTCAGCCGCACTATCCAAGACACCTTGTAGCACATAATATTAGAAGGTGATTTGCTACCCACGTCTGCACTTGCGCCTCTGTGAACTTCACCATCGCTTCGTACCAAACTCCGGATGAGCCTTTGGGTATCCCTTGACTTGGAGCACAACCTAAGTACAACTGGGCCGTAGGTGGTTTAGACTCTCCATTATTTACCATCTACGTCTCTAGAGAGATCGCTCCACCTCATTTTTTAAGAAGTATGCATAGAAAGGACCCATAGCTACAATTGAAATAAAGAGATAACGATTAGTTCAGGAAGATATTTAATAGTTGGGCAGGTACTCATTTCCTGATTTCTAGAGAAGAGGCAGGACGTTACGAGAGGAGGAAGTCAAGTTAAGCAGAATGGCCATTTTGATGTTAGTAGTAGAGAGCTCATGTAGATGGGTTTCTGACTTCAGGCCTATGGAACCTGAAGTAGTTAGCGTTACACTCGCCAACAAAATCGACTTTTCCTCAAACTACCCCGGGAAGCTTTTAGCCCCGCTTGCGAGAAGCAGTGTCTAATAGCATCATATTTCGGGCTTCAAGGTGTCGTCAGCCTGCTGCTAGCGACTGGCAAGGTCGAGGTTGACTTGAAGGATACGGATGGTCGGACACCGCTGTCGTACGCTGCTCACTATGGGAACGTGGCTTTCGTCGAGTTGTTGCTCGCGACTGGTAAGGTCGAGGTTGACTCGAAGGATAACTATGGTCGGACGCCACTGTCGTGCGCTGCTTACGATGGGAATAAGGCTGTCGTCGAGCTGCTGCTTGCGACTGGTAAGGTCGAGGCTGACTTGAGAGATGATGATGGTCGGACGCCGCTGTGGTACGCCGCTCAGAACAGGTATGAAGCTGTCGTCAAACTACTGCAAGTGTATGTTGATTAATTGTTTACTCTGTAAATTACATAAAATATAGACCCAGATAATATCCTGTAAAGTGTAGCGTTACATTTTTGATGTAAAACTGTATTATATTATAAGTTTGATAGAGAGATGCTTAGAAAGGTGAGCTTTATATACTTATTAAGTAGTTCTAATATCTTGAAGAATATTCTAGAAGCCTATATTATATTTACAAATATTGGGGCCTACATTTGGAAGGAGAGGTTAGCGTGTCTTTATTACAGTCCTATATAGTATGTTATATTGACAATATTGTTGACAGAATACTCTTTGTCGCTGCTATATAAATTGTGGATTCTCTGGATTTGAATTTTACTAAATTAGATAGTATGTTTTTGATATAAATATGTTTTATTCGTTAACAGACCCTGTTTCTATATAATATGCTAGAAGTAGAGTTGTAATTACTACGCTTAGTATAAAGTACGTTTTAGACTTATCTGTGTATAGTTCTACCCGCGGGGCCTTTTAAACTTGAAATATAAGATGATATTATTGTACTACTTGTTTTATACAAGGGGTTCTAGTAATGGTATGGAAGTGCTTATCTACTATTTTAGAGTCTAATTTAGTACTACAAAGTTTTGTAACTAGTGAAACCAAGTTATAGAATATATATTTAGACGAGGGTCTAGTGAGAGGCCTAATAGTCATTTGATACAAGAGGACATATTTGATTTCGAACCACTACCGAGATGGCAGGTTGGTCAGCATCTAGCAAGACTATGACTATCAAGAGAAATACACTTGTAACCAAAAGATTGTTTTCTACCGCGCTTATGTTCATTATCTAACCCGGCAACCAAAGGCATACCATTGCAAGATTTTTCGCTCCCATTGCCGAGGACGTTGAGAAAGCAGTGTCAGGATCGGGAGTCGGGAAGAATTCTTGACTGCAAAGTTCAAAAGCTACGAATGTGGGTGGACCGAGGAAGCTTTGAAATTAGATCTGGTGGATGGTGCAAAAATAAATTGCATACGGCTCTTTAGCTTCTGAAAAGGCTTTTGGACTTGCCTCGCTCTGATTTATGTACTTGAAGGAAGCAATAGAAGCTTTCGAAATATCCCCACATATGTACAGCCGCTCTCTCCAGCAGGGATTAAGATAAAACCCCCTCTCAAAATGCGGTGCAACAGGTTTGCACCTATGTCGCCTTAGCGTGACAATATCGATGAGTTTTCAGGGCCTCAGAACCCAAAGTACCCTTTCAAGGTGTCCTGAAGAATAAAGTTTTGGTGGAGATGGGTGCAAACTTGTTCCCCTCACTGTACCTAGACATGAAACTTTGAAAGAGCTGAAAAGCAGAGAGATGTAATTAGATGGAGGTATCCGCCAGTGGTGTCTTGGGATCTTGTCTGATTAGCGAACTGGTGGGAATGCCTGCACCAGGAAGCCGCTTTCGGCCCCGACTCCGAAACCGAGTTCTTCTATGCGGCCCCGCTATTCGCCTCAGCATTTCGACCCCAAACGAATCTCCACGTCCCCTCATTCGAAATCCTTTTTACAATGCGGCTGACCTGTTACTAAGTGAGGTGCAGAATAAACCCATGTTCATTGTCAGATTCTTCAGATAATCGTCCCATTTTAGGACTGCATAGACAAGGGACCAGTGTTGCTTGCAGGTCATCTACGATACCTGTAACAGACATTGAGCACTACCTTATCTCAGGAACCGATCTACAGCCCTATTCTTCAAACATGTCGGTTCTGTCAGACCTTCCATTTGCCTTTTTACTATCGGCCTGACCAAGATGTGTATTTTAGGTGGAAGTTAAATATTTCTATGCTGCATGCCTTCTTGGGTCATCTTTATTGCTATTCTTTGGCGTTGCCGTATTCTTCGACGCTTTCAGGGGCTTCAATTTTGGGTCCGTTTCTATGCACTCAAAAGTTTCTTGGACG